GCCACAGGAATGTTTTACTGGCCAAAAACTCGTTTATCGACATTGATCATTATCGCGATTCAACATCCAGTTTTTCTTGATCTGATGAACGGTGGTGTGAGTCCCCGATCATTCTGAGCGTCAACCGACGATCTGAACCCGTAAGATCCCGGATTATGTCGATATTATCAAGATGAAATCTTTCTGCTTCGTGATTCATCTTCAATCGACTCTCTCCCTTCTGAAAATGCTGTTCCGTAAGCAAGAGTTTCCGTTGCAAGTCTAAAGCGAAACTTGATAGCACATCATTGCTCGCAATTGATGTCATTCACTCTTAGAAAACTATTTCATAAAAAAAGTATTACGGTTAACCAAATGAGCGAGTTCAAACTTGTACTGAAGGCGGATCACATAGTCGCCTGTCTCCCCTCCAAGCCTGGCGCCTCCAGTTTTGCCTGATGGAACGCTAGGTTGCCAGTCTCATAACTTATTTTACAGACCTCGTATATAATTTTATATTCTATTATAACCATAAGGTATCTCAAATTTTGCATAAAAAATAAGGAATGAGGGCGAATGGATTAAAACGATTTCTTCTCGTACTTTTGCCCTTGCTATGTGATTTATAAAGGGTTATTTATTGTAGTGAACCTATTTTAGTAGATTCTATTACGGATTTGGATACCAGATAGTGGCAAAAATAGAATTTAAACTAAATTTAAGAAAATCCACAAAGTCAATCTTTTTAAATAGAATTGTGTTAATGCCATCGTGTTAGGCATTGTAACTACGGTTTAATTTTTACAAGGTTGTCAGTTTGACATATCAGTAGTTTTCGAGATATTTTTAGGGAGTAGAGAATTTTATGTTACTGTCGCTGATAAAAAATCTGATGAATACAATTTAGATTGGGGCACACTTCAAGGCAGCGTCCTTGCATCACTTATTTTCTCGATTTTCATAAATGATTTGTCTGCACACTTATCCTACGGAAAATTACTTTTGTATGCAGACGACACTAATATCATTTTAGGTGACTCATTGCAAGAGCGTCTTCAAGAAAAAAATAATGATTCGGTTAATGAGTTCAATCAATGGTGCTTCAAAAACAGACTACTAGTAAATTCAACAAAGACCGTTTCAGTTGAATAATTTATGAAACCAAAAGATCCGTCAAATTTTAATTTCAGTCCTCAGTGCAGGACAATTGCAACTTCAAAAATACTGTGTTTTTTGGTGTAAGCTTTGATTGCAATTTAGAATGGACAAAGCAAATTGATTCCGTATTTAAGAAGCTTGGAAAAAGTCTGTATCTAATACTTACGCTAGGGAGGATGTTAAACACCTCAGTATTAATTGATGTCATCTCATATGGCATTACTGAGCGGCGCCAGGCTAGTGAAATCTCTAGAGTGTTTGTATTACAAAAAAGAATAATTCGCATTATATTTAAAATACGGTCTATATCTCCTTGCCGCAAGATATTTGTTAAACACAAAATACTTACAGAAGCATGTACGTATATATATGCTTATAGACATGTTTTCAGCACAGAAATTGTTATCTTAAACATACTGACCTCCGTGACTATAGCACTCGTAATAAAAATAATATAGTTAGGCCTGTGCCATATCATACGTTTCATTCAAAATCTCCCATAACAACAGGTATATACTTTTTTAACTTATTACCTCCGGAGATTAAAAACGTAAACTCCATAGGGCTTTTCAGAAAAATGTTTGCGGAACAACTTTTTTTTTTTTTGAGGGGGGAATGCGTTTACGCACCATACCATAGCCCGAGCTACGGCGTGTGTGGGACTCCAGGTTGTCTTGAAGAGACCACCTAATACCCACTAAACCCTAACCTCCGCGTGGCCCGACTCATCAGTCTGTGGTCTGCTACAACGTCTCCTCTTGTGTTTCAGTCTCTGGGAACGCCGGGTTGGTTCCCTTTACCTCGCACATTCTATCGATATCGTTAAGCGATCATTGATAGAGGGTCTGCTAGGTTCTCTTGAAACTCTTGTTTTCGAAAAATCAAGAGTTTCAAGCCCTCTTACCTATATATTGTTCCTGGTCCTGGTCCTCAAGGGTCCTGGTCCTGGTGGGTCCTGGTCGTGGCGGGTCCTGGTCCTGGTTGGTACTGGTTCCGGTGGGTCCTGGTCCCGGTGGTTCCTGGTCCTCTGCATCCACGCCGTGGGGGGGGGGGGGCGGAGGCGTAAGCGAGCTGAGGTCTGGCGATGGCCTTGATCAGCCGTAGCTTGGTCGCTAGCGGCATCCGGCTGTAACTACCCAGTAATGGGTAGAGTTGAGCCATGGCTGCTCTGGTCTTTGCGATGACAGCTTCTATGTGGGCTTTCCAGGTGAGGGACTTGTCAAATACGATCCCCAGATATTTGACTTTGTCCCTCCACTGGATATCTTCGTCGAAGATGGATGCTCCGAGAGGTCTTGCAATCCTTCTTCGTTGGATGAAGATTGCCTGCGTCTTCTGGACGTTGATGCGGATTTTCCATTCCACGCACCAGTCCTGGATGTGGTCCAGTTCATCCTGTAGTCTCCTACGGATGATCTCGGGTCGTCTATGCTTGGCGGCTATAGCAGTGTCGTCTGCATATAGGGCCAGCATTGTGTCAGCTGTCTTCGGCACATCGTAAGTATAGATGTTGTAGAGCAGGGGGGCTAAGGCTGACCCCTGCGGCACGCCTGCTTCCAGCTGTCGTCTTGTTGAATGGCATGTACCAATCTTCACCGTGAACCATCTTTGTGTTAGATAGCTCTGGATTAGTTGGCACATGTTCGCATCGATTCCGGCGACTTCCATTTTGGCGATGAGTCCATCGTGCCAAACTCGATCGAAGGCTCGTTCCACGTCCAGCAGGACGAGGCCGGTTGCCTCCTGGAGATTGAAGCCGCTGGTGATGTTGTCTGTCAGTCGTAGCGCTTCGAGTTCCGTGTTGTGGGAGGATCTGAAGCCGAATTGCTCTGGGGGGAGAAGTTGCAGTTCTTCTGCCTGCTTCTCTAGTCGAACGGCGATAGCCTTTTCGACTAGTTTGCCCATCGAGGAAACCAGGCTGATGGGCCGGTAGTTCTGGGGCAACTTCCGGTCCTTGCCTGGCTTGGTGAGCATTATAACCTGGGCTTCCCGCCACCGCCGCGGGAAGGGGTTAAGTCTCAGAGTGGCATTGGCGATGTTGGTGAGCGCAGCAATGCCTTTGGAGGGAAGGTTCTTCAGCATCCTGTTGTTGATGCCGTCCCTTCCCGGCGCCTTTCTGACCTTCAACCTGCGGATGATCAGACGGATTTCCTCTGGACTGGAGTGGTGATCCGTCTCCTGGCCAGGTGGTCGACTCCTCATGATTGCGACTTCCACGGCCTCCTCGTGGTTGTCGTCCTCGTCTTCATGGTAATTGAGTCTGCATTCGGATTCTAGCGAATCGGCGAATGCTTCGGCTTTTTCTTCACTGGAGTAGGCCAAGCCGCGTTGGCCGTGAAGAGTGGGGATCGTAGTGCGCTGACGACGAAATTTTCGCTGCATAGTCCAGGCCGTACCATCCTGGGTCTCTAGTTCTGCATAGGCTGCATTCCATCTGCTGTTTTGGAGTTCCGCGAGTGCGTTCTTCAGAGCTAGCGATGCTCTGTTTCGCGCAACTCTCGACTCCTCTGTCAACAGCTGGAGATGTTCTCGCTTGAGTCTTCTGTTCTCCCTGATCAGGTTCCTAATATGGTGCGGTGCTGGACCATTTAGGTGTCTAGGAACTGCCGTAGTCTCGGAGCGGGTGCTGTCCTCGTGCGCTCGCAGGACAGCATTCTCCAGCCCCTCTACTGCGTTGTCCAGTTCCTCCGCTGATCGGATGGTTGGAATTTGAGTGATGTTCCTTTGGATGTTGGATTTGTACAGGTTCCAGTTCGTCCGTTTGGTGCTCAAGCTATCTTGTGCCAAGTGTTAGTAGGATCGGATTGTGGTCCGACGATCCTTCCACCAGGGTCTCTATCTCGAACTCCTCTCTGGTGTTGCGGAGGATGGCTATGTCCAGTACCGCTGGTCGCCCAAGGCCGAATGGAATGTAGGTTGGTTGCTCCGGACCGACAATGACCCCCGCCAGGGCATCGACGTGTTCTTTGAGCTGCCTTGCATTCCTGTCTTCGACGTTGTTGTTCCATGCCGGAGACTTGCAGTTTAGATCTCCGATGACTATGCGTGCTCCTGGGCCTCTCAGGAGGTCAGCGATGTCATCTTCGTCTAGGGCCTCCCCTGGTGGCACATATAGGGAGGTGATTCTGTAGGGACGGTGGTTTTGATGGACCTGGATCATGATTCCGTCCCCATTGATGTCTGCGGCATCGTCGAGGACATGACTTGTCAAGGTACGTTTGACGAGTAATGCGATTCCTCCACCTCTGCCTCTTCTGTCGTAGCGGTATGTCTCGTACCGCGGGAACGTCAGACTATGGGCAGCATCCAATTTCGTTTCTTGGATGGCCATCACCTCTGGTTAGTACTGGTCTAGTATCTCCTGGATTTCTGGTTTCCGTGCCTTGAATCCGTCGATGTTACAGGAGATAATGCGTAGAGATTCTACGTTTTGCCCTGTAGTCATTTCGGGTCTAATGCTTGTCTTGCATCTTGGCCTCGAGTGCATCCAGGCGGGTTATGATGGCTTGCATCATTGCTAGCAGTCTGTCATCGCCGTGTTGCTTCTGCGCAGTAGTTCCAGTAGCAGTGGCGGCTGCTGGGGCAGAAGTGGACATAGGTTTCTTCGCTTTTTGAGCGTAAGAGGTCCTATTTGTGGTGGGGACTGCTTTGGGGGCAGCAGCAGCTTTCCTCGGGGCCTTACTACATCCTTTGTAGTTCGCTGGGTGTCCTTCTCCGCAAAGGCAGCATTTGGCATTTTGTTGCCCTGTTGGCGGCGTCGGCAGACTGCAGTTGGTGCTGCTGTGGTCCTCACCACACTTTACGCACCGTTCTGCGAGACGGCAGTTTCGCTGCATGTGTCCGTACCGCTGGCAGCGGTAGCATTAGCTGGGCTCGGTGGACTTTTTCTTTCTCTCGAAGCTGACCGTGAGCATGGCCAGCCTCTGGACCTCTAGAAGCTTTTCCGGCATCTTCGTCTTGACGAGGAAGAGCGGAAGTGGCTTCTTGGTGGTCCTTGAGGTCATCTGCTGAACCTCGGCGTCTGCGATACCTTGGCTCACTAGATCCTCTTTGACGTCATCGATTGACATCTCCCTAGGTAGTCCACGAATGACCCTCGGGTCCATCCTGTCCTCCTTCAGTTGATAGGTGAAGAAGGGCCGCTTGATGGAGTTCAGCAGTGCGACTAGCTGACGGTAGTCAGTTTGTGAACACCTTCACACTGTTACCCGCCGTCCTCGCCTTGGAGAATTGGATCCCCTTGTTGTTTATCATCCTGCTTAAGGATGACCAGTCAGCGGTGCCCTCGATATTGATTGGAGGAACTCCTGTTCCTGCCATGGGGGCCTCGGTGGTCCTGGTTGCTCTACCTCTCTTCTTGGTGGCAGCTGGCATCTTTGGCTGCCTGGACGATTCTTCTTCCTCTTCGGAGGAGGAAACTCTCACTCGTTTTCTCCTCCTGGTGACGACACTGAAGTCTGCGTCATCGGTCCTCTTCTCGGCTTCTTCTTCGATTTCTTGGGCATCCATGTCCTTGTTTCCCGTAGGCTGCTGGTCCTCGTCTCCCTGGTCCTCACCTTCTTCTTCTTCTTCTGTCTTCTTCGCCTTCCTCTTCGCCTTGAGAAGATTCCCCCTCACTTCCTCTATCTCCTGCCTCGCCTGCTTGAATGCTTCTTGCAGATTTTTCATCTGCTGTGCAAGCATGGCGAAATTATCCTCCTTCTGCTTCAGCTGGCTCGTCCGCTTTCTATTCTCGCCATCGTGGATAGCGATCGTATCGTGCTGAAAATCACAATAAGATCGCACTGTATGTCCGGGTGGGTCGCAGTCGCACAAGTGTATACTCGCGACGGCTGCTAGCTCGGAACTGGAAAAAGGGAACAACCTATCGGATTGCGGTTTTTATGAGCTAGGTGAATTTGTCACATCCCACAGTGCTTCTGATAGATCTTAATAAATAATTTATTGCCATATTATGTGTATGTATCATATTGTTTTTTATTGTTCCTATTGTTATTTGTATTGTGCTGCATTTTATCTATATTTTAATCTGTATACACCGACTTATCCAATTTCTACAATGTATGTAGATCTAACTGGATCAATAAATGAATCTGAATCTATGGAAATATTGGTTTTACTCTTGCTTAAATATTCCATATGGCTCAATGAGCACAAATCCCCAAAATTCAATGGGACCCCAAAATATCATGCGTTTAAATCACTATAATGGAGCATCGTTCTGCTCAATTACATGGAAGAGTAGGATCGCACCAATATTACGTGACTTAAAAAGTGACATTATATCGATTTGTAAATGACATTATGTAGTTTTTTTCGGATAAATTCCACCTTGGAACTAGCCGTCATTCAGTTCATGTTTACTTGTACTAGCTATCCGCAAGTGCGCCCGCAGGAAATTTTGCAAGGGGGAACAAGTGGGGGGTTATTATCGACAAGAGATAACTTTTGGTGAAAGTCTACCTGCCCCAACATTTTTTGAAGATCGCTGAGTAACAAATTTTGCCAGGGGGGCCAAATCCTAAAAATCTTCTAGACTGTACATAAAATCATGCTAAATATGCATATTTTAAGATCCAACCGGATCTCTCCCCCGTGCCCTCCCCCATGACTGTGCGTGTTGATCAAACGTCATGACGTGTGAGCTGTATGATTTGGCTCTGATGTGATGTAACCTCTGCTTCAGAGATGGCACTATCGGACGCTAGTTAAACTTCTATGGCTGTAATTTAAGGGTCGTTGTTGCATTCCTAGATAGGTGGCGTTCACAGTCAATGCGCGAGTCGTGGACTGGCGACTAGCTAGTACACAAGCTAACATCATACCGATTTTTAATGAATTAGAACGATTTTTTACGTAATACCCCTGTCATCCTTTTCTGCCTTACCCTAACTGAAACGACTCTTCCAAGTAGATCAGACAGCTGAGTAGGTCAATTGTCCTAGTATACTGACTTACTCGTACTTAACATTGTGGTCCGTTGAGTTTTGGTATTTGTGCCCAGCGAGACATTTATTTAGAACACCAAGATAGTAGAAGCATGTTACAGATTAAGTCAGATTAACCGAGACCACTCTTCCAGATTGAGCGGTTAGCTGAATAGGACCGATATTCCATTAAATTGAGTTAGCCGACCTATATTTTGGGGGCCTGTTGAGTTGTGGGATTCAGACAAATTAATCTCCAGATCTTGCATATAGCGGAGTAGAACGTATGTCCTTAAGACCCGTTGAGCTTTGAGGTTTGGGTCCGTTGAGACATTTGTTCAGGACGCCAAGACACATAATACATAAAAAGATGATCCAGAATAACCCGAATCAATTTTCCCAAAGGCGCGTTTCAGGATATTTTGCTTAGGTGAACAACAAGCTTGGTATTATGAAGCGCCACGCCGAGAACCTGTCCAAGTGTCAGGTCAAGCTTAGTCACCAACTGGTGACGTAAGCAAGAACGTACTCGGCTAATGCTTGTGCTATTTCGTCTGAGAGGTGTCTAGTTGCTTGAATCTGGATCTCTTTTAGGGCGGGCAGAATATTGGTAATATTCCAGTTATCTGAGGCGAAACTTACGTAATTCATATTAGGTATATCTACCCTTACTTAGGTCCACCTCTTTTCAATATTTATTTAAATGATGTATTTCAAATTTATTATGTGGGTAAAATAATAAGATTTGAAGATGAGATAGTAACAGAGAGTTAAGCATTAATTAATCTGAAAAGCATCATGCTCAACTCGTATTTATGACTTGGGAATTTTCTGATAAAAGGATACTAAAAACAATGTTTTACAAACCAAAATTGTATCCCACTGGCATACAAAGGTATACACGTATTATACATAAAACAGGTTTGTCTCTCACATGCTATCATCTACTATCATAAATTTATTAGTAACGTTGAAAAAATCAAACACCATCTCTACACAAGGCATAAACTACGAGGAACGGTTGTAGCTAGACCTATAATACAGCGAACATCGCAACATACCTTTATTTAGGATCAAAATTATACCTAAATTTAGCCGACAGAAGAACATACTCCTACCTATAGGCTTTGGGAGTGTTTTTAAAAAAATAAAATAATATATATTTCATTTGGCAACACCAGACGAACAAAAAGTAAATGTACATGTCATGCTTCATATCGACCCATTTTTTATATTTATTTATTCATTTTTTATATTGTTCAAGGAGTAAATAAATAATACTGTTAATTTCGCCAGGGTCCGTGGATTTCTACGTAACTCTATACATCTATAATTACCGTCGTCCTGACTATACAGTCATAAGTAGGTAGTAGGTACCACATTCCATTATAAATACTGATCGTGTGACAATCGCCAAATACGTTGACCTAGAGCGAGAAGCAGACAGGTTTCATATAAGAAATGGATGGTGAGCATTTAGTAACAAAAGAATGGGCATCGAATTGCCGGGACAAAATTTAGCTATTCTGAAAAAATTGTTTGAAGATTCCTTCACTACCCACTAATTGAGCAACAGCACCTCTCAAAATTCCATAAACTCGCTTTGTCTTCCATACAAAGCAGCTGACAAGAGAGTGGCATTCAACAAATTGGATGTGAGAGACGTTAAGGTTGGCCGACATGCGGTATCGAAGGTACTGGGCAGGCAGCAGGTCGTTCAGAAGGGTTCTAAAGCGACGGATTACGGCTGGTTATTTATTCTACCTACCTCGCAGCATTAGGGTCAAAACAGTGAAAAGAGCTGCCTCACGTTCATTCATATTCATGAGGAGCATCCGATTGTTACTATATGGACAGTAGCTCTTAAATCATTATTTAACTTAAATAAAATTGTTTATGATCCTAGCTAATATCGCAGGATTGTACGGTTGTTCTGGGGGATTATGGGCAATTAGGCTAAGGTACTTTGTACCAGTTTGTAAGGGGATCTAGCAGTATTATAACATTATGGCTGGATAGTATGTACTTGCTCTATATTCAACCTCTGCTCTTGATATAAGTGACTGGATCAAATTACTCATGAAAAGTGAATTTTTGATCTAAGGATTCTAGGGAGATGTGTTAGACTAAACGAACTCATATTGTGTATAACGTCTTCGACAGAAACTGCTCGCCTCGTTTTTGTCTGTTTATTATTAATTCATAAACAATCTATCAACAGCCTGAGTTCATTTTTAGGTAACGTGGTATGGATGGTTAAGGCTCTAAGGTACCCTTGTCCATGTAAACTGTATATCGGCAATTCCATCTTAACTTGCTTTTGTGATATAAGCAGAAAATTTTGACTTATGGAAGATCTATATTTTCTGTTTGCACAGTTGACAAAACCTTTTAAACCAATATGCATGCATTGTTTGTCTTAAAATATTGGTTCTGGCATTTTAACTAAAACGATGACAGGAGAAAGCTAGATTATGGTGAAGTTGTGTACCTTCATATTTTGCAACAAATGTACACCGAGCACAGCAATTTTGTACTATAAAAGTTGAATATTGTTGCAGATGTACAGCCTTTAACAGTTACTAAACGACAGTAGTATAAGTGTAATTTGTTGGCTAAAGGAGTAAATTTGCAACCCAAAACAAGGCTCGGGTTTGTTGTATAAACGTTACCATGGATGCCACAACACAACCATTTTGACTACCGCGCAAATATGCCATATAACATTGTTGTATAAACGTTTATGCAACAGTTCATATATAAGGTGTTGTATAACTATGTATAACTATTCTATAAGAATATTTTAAACACCTCATTTTAGAGTAAATATGTTGCAGAAAGCAAATTTGCATTCGACACAACATTAAGCCAGCATTTTGGTGCTCACGCAACAACAATAGAGAGCTTCTACAGCTGAACACTTCTTTTACCAAAAACTTACAGCACTACTTTGCTAGTTGGGATCCGCTAAACTAAACGAACTCACATTGTGTATAACGTCTTCGACAGAAACTGCTCGCCTCGTTTTTGTCTGTCTATTATTAATTCATAAACAATCTATCAACAGCCTGAATTCATTTTTAGGTAACGTGGTATGGATGGTTAAGGCTCTAAGGTACCCTTGTCCATGTAAACTGTATATCGGCAATTCCATCTTAACTTGCTTTTGTGATATAAGC